ATATGGTAACTAAGTTAATAAATAAATGATGCAATATAAAGTAAACACAGTTTATTGATTTGAACTGAACCATACATTGATCTTTTCAGGAACCCTCCCACCTTCTGAATCCTCCTCTTCCCCTCATACACCTGAGCCTCCACACAGTAAGATGTTTTCATAACTCTTTTCTCAAGTGCTACTCTGCCCCAAAAGTGTCCTTTATTATACAGTCTATAATGAGAAGAATACATTGCACTAATCTACTTTTTTTTTTTTCATCCCTGTTCTCTCAGCAGGTCCTTCTGTTGTTGTTGCCCCACCGGCACGGAGACCAGATCAGGATATAAGCTCTTGGACCTGTTCTTATCATCAGAAAGAGTGGATGAAGACAGAGCTCCAGTCTCTGGGACTGTGGCCTGGGTCCCACCATATGCTCAAGCCAGGAAACGCCCTTTCATTATGCCGTCTCCCTCCACAGCCAGAACTCATTGACACTGTGTTAGCACTCCCATCCCGCAATTTCTTTCAGCTCCATCCATTTTTTATTTGGAAACCAGAAAGTGACAGCATGGTGAGACTAAGAAATAATTATATACTCCCATGTCTTCATGGTTGTCCAAAGCCAGATATAGTCTCAGCTGGTGTGGGTAGGCCTCGAGTGGGTGTTGGCACTAGTGGACAGTATTACATCTTTGCTTCACGCCTTCGCTGCAGGGTGTGCAAGAGGATCTGGTTTGCTGACAGTCCTCAGTGGACGGGGAAACTGCCAAAGCGGTTCACAAGCATTCTGCCAGCATTCCTAACTTACAAGAAGGCCATTTGCAAGTCTGTGCTTCATGAGCTGAGGCGTACTGGCAAGTCACCTTCAGACATGGCAAACCAGGTGAATGAGCTGATGCACCTTAAATATGAACAAGCTCACCTGGCATACCTTCACAGCATAAAGAACATCTGGGATGTTGAGGCTGGGGTTTACGGGCAGATGACTCTTGGTCACCTTGTGATGACATGCCACAGTCTTTTGGAGCCTATGATGATGCAGATGGGTGGTGTGGAGTCTCTGTCTCTGCTCACTACCTGACTGACGGCCTCATTGATGAGTACCGGCGCCAAGAGCCAGCTATCACTAAACTCCTGCAGGGCACTTTTGGACAGGTCTTGCAGTCTGACCACACCAGGAAGGTGGCACGAAATGTGACCTTGTCATCTGGCACCATGTCAAGCTATGCAGTTATTAAACGAAAATTGGATGATTGTTTCCTGGGTGATGTTGCAGTCTGAGAGAGAGAAGTCCCTTGAACCCATGTACCGGGGGTTAGCAAAGAGGATGCAGGGGTGGAGAAGGCCAATTACCACTGGGTAGACAGGTGAGAAAAATCTGCATCTATCACTATTACACTATAACA